TTTAATGTATTTTCTTATAATTAGTGCCCTTTATAGCGATGAAGACATCTATCTATTAGACGATCCGTTAAGTGCTGTCGACTCTGAAGTCGCGAATCATATCTTCGATAAGTTTTGAATTTTTATTAAAATAGATTTTAAAACAATTATAATTTCAGATGTATTTGTGATTATCTAAAGACAAAAACAGTGGTATTAGTCACACATCAGATCCAATTCATACAAAAGGCCACAAAAATCTTGGTTCTCAAAGAGGGTCGGAGTCTAGCGTTTGGAACGTATGAAGAATTACTCGATTCTGGCATTGATTTCATGTCTTTGATTAGTGATAATAAATATAATGTTAAACAAGATATAAGCAATGAAAATACTAATGAAATTGTAATGGTTGATAAAATGGCTGAAAATACTCTTGCAGTTCAGAATGAGGTACATTTTATATGATTGCAAATATTTTATATATAAATTTCTAATGTTAATTTTTTCATTATTTCTCTTAAGGAATCGGAACCTAAAGATCAATTTATTGCCGATGAATATCGACATAAAGGTTCAGTTGAGGGCAAAGTTTATTGGCACTATATTAGAGCCGGTGGTGGACCTCTATTAATTAGTGTCATACTATTCACTACAATTATATATTACTTTCTCGATACTTATATTGATATATACCTGTCTATTTGGTAATATACAAAAGAATTGTCTATAAATAAAACATATTAAAAGATGTTACTTTTAGGACTAATAAAGGGGACACCAAGAATGCAACCAATTCTACTGATATTAATAACCAATGGACTGATATTATGATATATTCTGTGTTATTGGCATCAGCTCTAGTAGCTGTGGTGTTTCGGTTCACAACATTCATCAATCTCTGCATAAAGTGTTCAATCAATTTACACAATCGTATATTCAATCGCATAATGACAGCACCCATTGCTTTCTTCGACACCAATCCTATCGGTATTTTTTAAAATTGATATCTAATTTGTTTAAATAGTGTAATATAATAGTGAGCAAGAAATCATATTTTAAATTATTTTATTCATTAAATAAATAAATAGTAAATTTAAATTCTGTTTAAAAATTAATTTATTAATGTAACTTTAGTATTCTAAAAAGTACTTTACATTAAAGCAAAATATTAAATCAGGTTTAAAAAGAAATATCCACTTAATTATTATCATAGTTGATAATAGTGCACAAAGTACATACGCACTGGTAGGAGGGAGGGGGGG